CCCCAAAACCCCAAAACCCCAAAACCCCGGATGATGTAGACATAATTGAACTATCAAGAATTAGTTTCCAATAACTGTGTGCCAATAGCTTTTGAATGCTCCAATCCTTTAGTTTTGAGTTAATATCGGGGAAATGTAATTTCAATTCTTTTTCCGAAAGAATTTTCAAATTTCTTTGTGAATGATTCTTCAAAATTTTCTGGCAATTCTTCTTCAATCTCCCAATCTCGAAACTTTAACTGTTGCAAACTTTGCATAAGATCAGGAGAAGTGGTGAATCCTTTAATCAAGTTCTCCAGTTCACCAGGGTTGGTAAATTCGTCGTCACTACTTGAGACAACACTATAGCAGAACTTTAACTCCTTAACCTTAGAGGCCTTGAGAGCCAACGAAAGATCAGGAACTCTTGGGACTAAGAAAGTGCAGCTATTGAATTCGATAGTTTCAATATGTCTGAAAGCTGCAAGGGATCTTTTGAGCTGCCTTTCATTGAATCGACAAACACTAAAAACTATTTCCTTCTCAACTGCAGAGTTAATTTTCAAGACCTGAGGCAAAATATGGTTGGGAGGAGTACATTCGCTCTCTGGAAAATGTATGTCTCAAGATTTCACTCTTCTCGGCAAAAGTTTGGGAAAAGAAAGCTAAGGAGTCCTTAGATTTCACGAATTCTGTTGCAATTCGATTAACATCAGGAATTTTGAGAAATCAGGTTTTATAGCATGTAAAATTTCCATCTCTGTAAATTTCAAACTTTTGAGGGGATTCTATGCATATCTCTTCTCACATATCTCCTTCGAGACCTGAATACGCCTTTCTCTGGATGTCTAAATATTTCTGCTGCACGTCTACATTAATAATTAGGTCAAATCTTGAATAAAAGAGTATTTTTGATACATTTTCTGCATATAATCTACTAAGTAAGATAGCAGATTTTGGAATCTAGAAGCCACTTTATTGTATAAACAGACTCATCCTTTGAGAAGAGGTGTGCTTAGGTGAGCATCTTGGAACTCCTGCCTCATTGAAATAAGTAAATTTACAATTTGGATATTTTTGATCTTTGTCAACTCTCAGATAAAAATGCTATAAATTTAGTTGATTTTGAGTAGACTTATCCATAGGTTACTCAAATTTTCATTTGGACAACCATCAAGGGTAAGTTTAGAACTCTTAATGATGATTTTAAGCAAAGAAAACTAAATAATAAATTGAAGCAACTATAACAGATTTTGAGATATCGGTACAAAATTATTTTGTGATATAATCTATTCTAAGACTTGGGCAAAGAATAGACCGAGGTTTTCTCCAAAAAAGTCTATACTATCGGCTAATATTAGTGGATTAGCAGAAAGATTGGAGTAAATGAGTGATGCTAGTATCCCAAAATTTAGACTTATTTGTTAGAGGCCAACTAAAATGTGCTTAGGAAAAGTTGGATAAGCTCAGATTCAGAGTGGATTGACAAACTTACTCAATTCTTTCATAATTCATTTAGATTTGTCCCAAATGGCAGAATAGTACATGCCAGCTCGACTGGGTCGAAATTTACTTGAAGAGATGGTACTTTCATCTCTCTTCTTAAAAGGATTCACTGAATTCTCTTCCTTGAGCTCATCTTTATCAAGGGCTTCTAAACTATTCTTGGAGATACTTTCTTTAAATCTTGCTGAATCTGCATCCACATCTGCTCCAAATGGATTGACTATTACTGATTTTAGTTGAGCTTACCTTTGGCAGACTTTCAGTCAGCTTTGTGGCAAGTTTTGACGGATGAATCATTCTCATCTTGGCTTGGACGATTATCTAAATGTATGTTGTGATTATTGTCAAAGGCAACTATTTATTAGTGTAATTCTTACAAAGAAGATTCAGAATTTTACACATATAGTCTGAGGTAAACTTGCCACTCTAAAGTAAATTGTCTATGAATCATAAGTCTATTTGAGAGGAGTCTACTTATAACTAGAAGGCTTTAATGAATAGATCTAATTATCAAAGATTCTTCTTAAATTGCACAATACAGAGCTCGAACAACTTTCATCAAACTTACCTTTGCTTGTTTCTGTTATCCATGGATTAGCATTGGAGCCTTCATTTGTTTGCTTTACAGACTTCTGAGACGAAAGATAGCACTCTTCAGAACTAGCTATCAGACTTGGTGAATCTGAAGAGGCTTTCTTACCTTCTTCACTCTGATGCATGTTCATATTTGCTTCAACATGGGATTCTTTAGAGATTTTCTTAGAAGAATTTGGAATTTCATCAAAATTCAGAGTAATTTCTTCAACTGATAAACTCTTAATTGATTGTACTCCACTAAGACTAGAACTTGCTTGTGCACTTGGATCTCGTCTCATAATTCCTAGAAGCATCAGACAGCAGCCCAGCAGTTGGAATGAATACTTACCTTGATTTTCAGACTGAACTTGCATCTGACTTGGCTTCTGCTCCATTTTGAGTAAAATTATTAATATTAGATTCTTAGTCCTTTGAATATCCCGGGGTTTTGGGGTTTTGGGGTTTTGGGGTTTTGGGG